GTTTCACTTCTCTTCCCGTTTGCATTACTATTTCTCTTCTTCTTGATGATTTTGTCTGGGAGGTCAGTGTCACAAAGGACATGCCACCCGCCCTTGCAGTTCTTCAGAGGGAGACCTCCACGCTTGCCATCTTTGGCTGTTTTTTGTTTTTGTGACAGAGTCTGGCTGGCATATATGTTTTTTTTTTAAAAACCACACACCTCATTCGGGTCCTTTGGTGTCTTGGGCTGTTCTGAATCCCATGGCAGATCTCTAAGGCACAGTCTATGGAAAATGCTGCATTCTTCCTTGTGTAGATGTCTTGACTCCAGTTCAGTGAGGGCGTGGGGAGAGTGGGTTTGGCAGAGCCAGGAAACATTTGGAGTACAACTCTGGGGATGCCCCCAAAGTGACATTTCCCAGCTCTGTGGGACGCTGCAGTATATTTGTGCGGTTCAGCTCAAGAGGTTGTAGTAGAAAAGTCACAAGTACTGGCTGGAAAGTTTGTTGAATGTCCAGGCGCTTCTTGAGAATGTGCTTTCACTATTGTGGCGTAGTGGATAGGATTCAGACCTGGGTTCAAATCCTTGTTTGGCCATGGAAACCCATGACTGGGTGGGTGCATGTTGTGGAATTGGTAAAACCATTCCTTAATATCTCCTTGAAAACTCTGTTAGGGTCACAATAAATCAGGTTTGGCTTGACAGCAAATAGCACAAAACAATAACTGTGCTTATACTTCTGTTTTACTGCTGGAACCATTACTGTAAGCTGTATTTAGGCTCCTAAATAGGGTATCTTTCATATTTGATAGGCACTAATTTGAGTTTCATTTGCTACTGCAGGAAATCCCATGAGGGATTTGCAACTGGTCCCCCCTCCACCTCCCGTGGTAGTTTCCAGAGACATTGCACATGTGTGGATATGTGAATCAGAACAGGGAGGGAGAATGGATCCTTTCTTTGGATGACAGCCCTCAGATTGTTGTGGCCTGGCTGGAGTATTCTGAGAGATGAAATCCAAAGTCGGAATTTCTACCACCTCTGGGTGGGGAGGGTCTGTTGTGTAATGAGGGCAGGTAGGGAAAAAAAGAAGAGTTTTCTGGTGTCTCTAGTAGTTATGTTAAGAAGGTGGATTTCAGGGACAAGTGACCCTTCGTTAAATCCTCCTGCTCCTACAGAATGATTAGCAGTGTAGGAGCGATCTTTCCCATCAAGCCCCAGTACTAGGCACAAGCAGCTTGTGACTGCAGCAGGGAGGTGCTTCCCCTCCACCCCCATGACCCGGTCAGGGTGAGGCAGCTCCTCCCCACCTTAGTTCATGCAGAGGATGCGTGTGTGTGGGGAAAATGGGCCCTGTCCTGGGATCAGACAACAAAGCTAAGATCTGCCACAGACTGCGAAGCTTGTGGAGTGAAAGAATGATTGGCATACTGACACAGAGGCATAACATCTCTAGAAGATGTTCACGGATACCTTAGGTTGTTTTACATAAACATTTCCGTCCTACGCATTTTGAGCAAGGGAAACAATCTCTTTAAAAGCATCCTACTCATTCTGAAAGAGGATTTCCCCTTCAGTCTTCCCAAATTTCCCTGTGACCCATTGGAAAAACTGCGAGGAAGCTTTTGGGGAGGGGGGATACCCCTGGAAACATTCTTTCTCAATTGTGGATGGTCCACTCCTCCTCCATCCTGGCTTTCACATTCATGACATTGGCTCATCTCACTCTCTAAGCGGCCACCTCAGCAACCCACAAGAGGCATGTGGCAAATCATGCCAGTGTTTGGCTCATGGGTTGAGCCAGTCCTGCAGTAGGAGGACAACACGCACTTCCCCCAAAAGTTCTTTCCTGGTTGAATAGTTGATCCGTCTTTCAGCTTCACTGCCTCTAGACAGAGAAAAGCCTGCCAGAGTAGCTACCCCACCCCAATATGCTTCTTTGGTTTCATTTGCTTCTGACCCTTTGACTGAAACTTAGGGAAAGCATCACGAAAAGGTATGCAGGCAGGCCAGCCCAGAGCAGTGTCCCTGACCCTGGCAGTACGGAGAGGAGGAAATCCTGAACAAGACACACATTCGGAAGAATTCTGAGAGTCAGACGAATTCAGATTCCCTTCTCTTGGGGAGGAGGAAGTCTGAGCAAGAGTCAGACGAATTCAGATTCCCTTCTCTAATTGCCTCTGAATGCAGCCAGAATGTATAAAGGGGAATATTTTATGATATCAGTATTTTCTCTTTCAGACTTTTCTGCAGGCTGTAGCCTGACATTTTGTGGTGGCTGGGTGTGGAGCTAGAGGGAGGGAGCGGGAACGAAGCCATTTGCTGGTTTGAAGTTATTGAATATATGACAATCAAGGCAGCAAATGACAATAAAGTCCAGAAAATAAACACATCCAGTGAAAGTACTGTATAAAAAACAATGAAAATGTAATTGAAATGAGATGGATGAAAAAGAAGCTGCAGCGCCTTCAGTTAAAATGTGGTTTCTATTCAGTGCTAAAAGTCTGTTGGAAGAAAGAGGGATTTGCTTTCTTGATGAAAGGAGAAAGGGATGGTGGGGGTGGACTGGGGGCAGGAAGTCTCACAGCCCTCAGTGGAAGCCCTTCCCCATGTTTATCACCAAGAGAAATCTGTTGCACTTTTCCCAAACCTCCAAAGCATTACAGCTGTGGAATGGCTTCCTGATGGAGGCTTAACTAAGTCAGCTCTCTATTATTTTCAGTGTCAAGTGCTAACATTTTTTTTAATTTGTGGCCATTTGAAATGGATTGTCTATGTGTGGGTGGAGTGGTGATGCTTCTCAATTTTTTTATATGGATGTGATGTTGTTGTTGTAACTGGATAGCCTGGTGAGTTAGGCATCTGGCTGTAGAGCCGATTATATGGATGTGATGTTGTTGTAACTGGATAGCTTGGTGAGTTAGGCATCTGGCTGTAGAGCCGGAGGTTGGGAGTTCAATTCCCCATCGTGCCTCTGGCAAGTAGAGCCAACCTGTGGGGCCTTGGCCAAGCTGAAGAATCCCGGGACACCCACAGAAAAAAAGGGAACCACTTCTGAGTACTGTTTGCCTGGGAAACCCTGAAAAGGGTCGTCATAAATCAGAATGGATTGATGGCACATGGTTATTATAATAATGTGTTAGGATTGGTGGCACATGGTTATTATAATAATGTGTTACTGTCTGAGAAGCCCTTATAAATAAAAGAGCACTTTAGAAAATGGTAAATAATAAATAAATGATTTTGTTTCTGTTGTTTTGCCTTGGGAAACACACACATACACATACACACATGAGGGCCTTGTATCCAGTTAGGGTCGACAAGCAAACAAGGTGTGCTACAGGATACAGATGTCTTCACAGTTTATTATTTGTAGCATTTGTTTAGTTAGGCAGTTTGTTTTAAGGAGAACATTTACTAGAGAAATAACCAATGTAAAGCCTTAACTGCAAAGCAGGCATTTACTGGCTTTGCCTTAACTTTTAGCATACATAATGGCAGCGTTTCTTTCAGTTATGTTGTATTTCTTGAGAATTATATGTTGCAGTTTTGTTTCCAACCTTGCATGCTCTCTATGGTTTGTGTGACTTGGAGGGTCTTTTCAAGTCTGAGGTAATTGTCTAGCTACCACTAACCAATCATTATTTCCAGCCTTTGAATTCAAAGAGAGTCCCATCTCTCTGCTGTTACAGTATTTTCTCTCTCTTTTGTCCACTGGTGTCAGTTGTTACTCTGCTGTTGATCCCTTTGGTTAGTTGCTAAATATATGTGCAGTAAAGCAAGCAGCATGCACAAGTCTGTAACTTCCAGCAAGTGAAAGTAAAGATATGTTTTTTATTATTTCTCCTAGAAAGCTCTCAGATTGAGTTATTGAGACTTTAAATGAGGAAGGGGTGGAACTTGTGACTATTCTGCTCTGTGGGTTCTGTACTTCTGCTGCATAGCAAAAGGTATTTTACCAGAAATTCAAAACCCTGCAACATTATATTGAACATTATTTTTAGTAGGGAGATAGAATATATGTTTTTTAAAAATGACTGAACAAAATTTATTACAAGGACAGCTTTCAGGAATAGGAATTCTCTCTCTCCTTTTTGGTCAACAGGGTTTTTTCCCCAAGAAAAAACAAGTGACCAAATCAGTTACATGGATCCACATAAGAGCTGCTGCTGTTGTATGTTGATGACATTGCCATAATTATTTTACAAGCACACTTATCTATGTGTACACACACACACACACATACACACACACACACACACACACACACACACACACCATAAACATAAGAGCAGGCCTTTGAACTTTGCTTGGAAACATTATCTTCTCCACCCTTCCTCTTGTCCTCTGAGATCGGAGATGGTGCTCATATGATCTTGTAATTTGTATTATTACTTTCCTCCATGATGCATGGTTTTATTATTTGTTCAACCTGTCTATTCCTGTCAAGTTTAAACTTGAAATAAATATGAAATTTAGGCATGGTCTACATATGCAGCAGAACAGACTGTCACCGTTCACTATGTGGCAGACTTTTATTTCCCCCCTTTTTCTTTTTTTAATGTAGGAAACCTCCTTAGTGTGCAGGACGCATGCTGGCTTTCAGGTTATAGGATTTTTTTT